TAATGAGCATCTGCTTAAGGGTTTTCTGGCACCAAAAGACTTTTGTTAAGATGCTCCTTGAGTTAAATCTCTTTAAGTTATATCAAGATCATCTACCTTTTCCATGAGTTTCCAAATCTTCGATTTTTTTTGCTCTTATCTCAACTCTTCACAAATTCTGTACATTCCTCCTAAGTTGTACCACTCAAAACTGAGCAATTTCTCTAGTAAATAAGAGCATTAGGGATAAATGCTCTTATTTATAAGAGCATTAGGAAGAAAAATATCTTTTATTTTATATAAGCTCTTTATTGAAATATATATTAAAAGGATATACAAATAGTAAGTGGACAGCTCTTTGAATTTTCCCAGAGTGAATACACGTATCTAATGGGCGCTCAGATCAAGAAACAAAACACGAACAGAACTCCAGGACCCCCTTTTTTCCCTCTTTCGGTCACCCTCTGCCCAAGGAAACCACTATACTTCTGAGCATAAACATAAATACAAATGTGGTTTTGATATTCTAAATAGAACAATATAATTGGTTCTTTCATGTTTGCTTTCTTTTTCTCAACTTCCTGGCTGCAAAGTTTATCCATATGACTACATGTAGTTGCATTTCAGTAATTTTCATTGCTATGCAGTATTCAACTATATAAATGTACCAAATGTTTTTAAAAAGATATCCAGGCCACCATAGATGCACAAGTGAATAATATCTAGTTTGGGGCCAATTACAAATGTGTCTTTTGGAGTGCATAAAGTAATCATTTTTGATGAGTATTTCACCTAGGAGTGACATTGGTGGGTCATAGGGTATGCTTATGTTCAACTCTTGCAGTTACATTTTTGGGAAGATTATTTGTTTTTCTACTCTAGTGCCATTCTTGTGTGATGGATGATTATTGTATTCCTCTGAGGCCATTCTCCAGCAGAAAACAGCTTTTAACGAGCACAGATGCTTGCATCACTGTCGGCAGGAAAACGAGGCTCTACCCATCAAGAAAGGGCTCACTTAGTTGTAGAAAGGAAGATTTGCTAGTAGCAAGTCTGAGTTGCTGCTCCTTGTTTCCGAAATAGGATAAGAAGTTCTTGCCGCTAAATGGAGGGTGAAGACATCCACAAGAATTAAACAGTGAGACACTGTCAGTAAAGGCCCTGGAAATTGTATAAAATCAGACATTGTTTAAGTCAGACTGGGTAGTTGTGATTGTCAAAAAGATTGTTACTGGTGTTGAAGTCAGATAGATAAATGTGCACAACTGGCAACTTGCTTGTTGTTACCAGTGAGGTTGGTAAGAACAAGGAGGGAGCTGTCAAGGTCAAGTCACTGACCTTCGGCCATGGATCAAGCTGGAACTCCTGAGAGGACCAGGAGAACCTGGTGGAAGCCTGTTGCTTTAAGGTTCTAAGCCCAGCAGGATCATGCTGAATTATATGTGTAAGGTTGGTTTCAAATAGCAAAATCACAAAATTTATTCCTGACGCAACCCTTCTCCGTGACCACACTCTGTGTAACCTTTCCCTGCCAAAGCCTCACTTTCTCCTTCTGGCCTTCCATTTGCACTAGCTCCATTTCCAGACGCGCTGCTGGGTCTACCGTCTCCTGGTCTCCTACGGTGTCTGATGAGCTACTTCATATTTGTCATCTCCTGATTGGCCATTTCTATCTTGCCCCCCTCCCACATACACAATAATAATAAATTCCCTTCTTCATTTAATAGGCCCTACTATGTGCCAGGAATGTGTCTAAACACTAAATGGCTCTGACTCCTTGGAGCTTAGACACACCTTAGTTTGACTGAGGGAGAAGGGCAGGGTGCAAACCACTATCGGTCTGTCTTTGGGAGAACGAGGCAGTCAGAACAGAAGGCAGACCCTCAGCGCCTTGAGTAAGTTGGTTTCCATAGCCCTGGATGCTGGGTATTGAGTTCCAGACTCCTAGCATCTAACACTCTGAAGAGATCGAGAAAAGGCCATGACCACACAGAACACACCTTCCCCACCACTTTCTCCTTTGATTTTGCCAATTGTCCCCCGAGGCTACCAGCACTGAAAATGAGGACAGTGTTTATGACAACTTTCCCAAGAAAGAAGGGGCTTCCTGCACCCTTGCTCCCTGGCTGGTAGCCTCCCTCTGCCAGAATTAAGTGCACCAGGGGTAGGATCCTCGTGTGTCCTGATGTAGGGTGTCAGATAGAAATGCTTGTCTTTCAGCTTGTCGAGACTTCGGTGCTCAGAGACTAACACAAGATAAACAACATGCTTTAATAGATGGGGTTTTTTTGTTGTTTGTTTTAAACAATCCATTTCTGCCTACACATGGCACACACCCCACTTACATTTCCCATTTTCAAAATGTAGAAGTCACTCGTGTATTTGCAATTTAAGGAGGAATGGTTAAAAAATTCAGTCACAGGATGAAGTGTTAATTGGACAGAATAAAACAGTTATAGGTCCTGAGGAGGGAAACGCCATGTGAAAGACACTATGAAGTATCTGTACACAGTTTCCTGATAGGCTTGGAGTATTTTGGCTCGTGAGGACCACGGGTTCAGAAGGTGATCACCTATTCCATTCCATTACTTTATAGGAAATTATGGCCTCCAAAACATTGTAAGTTTCTACAGTCAAGATGTAGCAAAATCATGAGTCCAGATTTTTCCGTCGAGTTTATCGCTCTGCCCACTGATAGGTGTGCTTTCCTGAAAAACCCTCTTTGGCTTATTGCTTGCTGTTGTAAACATTTTTAAATGTTTCAGAGCTGTTCGTTTTACTGAGACCGTAGTGAACATAAGTGAATATTTTTTTCAAGATGTGGACTCTCACTGGTAGGGACATTTGGGGGATATTATTAATATTCAGTGGAATCGACATAAAAGATGAAGGAAATTGGGCTAAATCTATATTGGTCCGGCAATATTATCTGTAATTTCAGAAGTTTCCAAATTCCTTCCATGTTTCCTTATGATTTTTCCCCCTAAGAATGAAACTCAGACAAATATACAGGTAATAAAGAAATCTGGTTATTTTTATGTAGTTACAATCACAGAGCATCAAAGGTAAAAAGAAAACAACAGCTATACTTCAGGAAATTTGATTTTTACAGGAAAGGTACTGTGGAACGTTCTAGTTGGAATAACCCTTGCCCATGGAATTTTCTGAGTACTCGACAAACTTACCCCAGGATCTCTCACAGAAGGACACGGGTATCTAGCCAGAAAAATAGTTTCAGTAGCTATATTAAATTTATTAAAACTAGAAATCATATATATATGAAGTCATCTTAGATGGAACATTTCTGTCCTTTTCCTTGTAATCGGATATTATTGTATTACACCCCTAATTCTCTTTAGAGCTACTCGGCTTTTAGTATGTAACCAATTAAAATTCATTAGTCTGTCATGCCCTGGCTGGCATAACTCAGTGGATTGAGCGCGGGCTGCGAACCAAAGTGTCGCAGGTTCAATTCCCAGTCAGGGCACATGCCTGGGTTGCAGGCCACGGCCCCCAGCAACTGCACATTGATGTTTCTCTCTCTCTTTCTCCCTCCCTTCCCTCTCTGAAAATAAATAAAATCTTTAAAAAATAAAAAATAAAATTCATTAGTGTGTCCAAGAATTCTGCCATAGGTCATGTTGGAAATTTATTAGAAAAATCTGGAAATTGTGCTCAAAAGCAGAAGAGCTGTGTTATATATTGAGAGACTAAATGCTTTGGATACTGAAGTTTCCCAGAATTCAAAGGAGGCAGAAATTAAAGGAATCTTGGTGATAAAGCAAGGAGCCACTATTGACTTTTCCTTACAGCATTAGTTATGTAAAACCAACAGGCTGAAAGGGAAAGAAATAGAGACGGCTTCCTAAAGTGGACACATTTTGTTCATATGTTATAGGTTTTTCTGTGCATCACTTTGTGTCTTCAAGAAAGAAAACGTCCATGAACCTCTATTAAAACAAGAAGTGACTAAGGCATGTCTGATAGATTCCTATAGGCAACTGGTAAGCTAAGAATGGGAAGAGCAGGATCTGGCCTAGAAAACCTCGTTTCGTTTGCTTCTGCAAAACCCTGATCTTCACACTAACTGCCAGATCCCACTGACCTCATGGCTGGGGACTGCAGCCCCGTTGAGGCTCCTGGGTTTATTGTCTGCACCCCTAGACTCAGAATATTTTAGGGGCTCCAGGCACCACTCCGCGAAGCTAGCATAACTGTTACCAAAACTGGGGCAGAGGTGGAAAACGGTAACAACGTTACATGTACTTTCTCCTAAAAGTGATACGATCGTGTAACAAACTACAGTAGTAACAACAGTAAAGATGGCACAATACACATTGATTCATTTTATATTGAAACCAACAGCAGCTTCCCTCCACAATTAGGGGTAACTTTCAAGACAGTTCTGATTGGTTGAATTAAGGGACCGCAGGTATGGTTTTTTGTTTTGTTTTGTTTTAATATTAATGGTAACTAAAACACAGCATTCAAAAGTCCAGAAGCTTTCATCCTATAGTCAAAACATCCCTGCACTTAACTTGCCATTTTTATGACTTGAGCCAACTTTTAATGCCTCATTTTTGTTGGGCTCTTCAAGATACAATTGCAGATGATTAGTGACCCTGTGTCACAACATCAGAAAGACCGTTAGGGGACTTGACTTTCTCAGCGGGGCCCCAGGCCCAGCGGTGGCGGAGCGCGGCCCCGACACCCCCGCAGACCGGGGTGCGTCTGCGCCCCGCGGACCCAGCCCAGCCTGCGGCGCCCGGCGCCCGCTGTCAGGTGTCGCCGCGGGCAAGCGCTGTTATTTCTGCGGGCGGGACTGGCGGGGGTGCGGGGTGACATAGCAGCCGCCTTCTCCTCCAGGTTCTTGGCGGCTGAAGACCGGGCCTCCCGCGCTGACAGCGGGCCCCGGGGGACCCCGGGCCACGCTTGCACGAGGGTCGCCCCGGCACCCGCGCGAGCCCCGCGCGCCGACTTCTCGCGAGGTTTCCCCACCCCCTCACCCGCCCCTCCGGGCTCCCGAGCAGGCTGCGCCCGCTATGGCTGCGCTGAGGAGGCTCTTCTGGCCGCCGCCTCGGCTCCCGCCTACTCCCTCTCCGCACCACCCGCTCCCCGGGCCTTGGGGGCGCCCTGTGAGCACAGCCGCCGGCCCTCCCGGCCGGCCCACCTCCGGCCGCGAGGAGGAGGAGGAGGCGGCTGTGGCTGGGGCGGCGCGGAGGCGGCGGCGGCGCTGGGGGGAGCTGAGCATCGCGGCGGCCGCCGGCGGGAGTCTGGTCGGCCTCGTGTGCTACCAGCTGTACGGGGACCCCAGGCCCGACTCCACGCGGGCGCCCACCCCCGGGCGCCCCTCCGAGAGCGCGGACGCGGAGCTGGAGGACGCGCCCCGCGGACGGGGGCTGCTCCCCATCCCGGTCGCCGCTGCCAAGGAGACGGTAGGTGCGCGTGCGCGCGCGCGCGCCGCTCTTACCCGCAGGTGACGTCCGAGGGCTGGGCCGACAGGTGTTGGCGCCACCTGGGTGCGGGGCGGTGCGGGGCGACAGCCACTCGCGGTGTGACCGTGGCCGTGAGCCCCCGTGACGTCGGAGGCTGTCGCAGTGTGAGCCCGGCGGCCGCGGGTGGGGACCTCCGGGGACCGAGACCGAGACCGAGACCTCGGCCCAGCGGCCTCGGGTGTGTGTGCGCCCAGATGCTGGGAAGACGGATGATGCTATCAGGATGTGTGAGAACCTCAAAGGTCGCTGCTACCACCTATCAACGGACAGCCCAGACCAGAACAGAGCAAAACAAAAGCCCAAGGAAGAAGTCAAGGGCATGACAGGCAGAAAGTGGAGGGTTGCATTTGTTGCAGGAAAGATCTCCCGAGCCGAGCTGGGCAGCAGCAGATGATCCAGGAGGTGGTGTCAGGTCCCAAAAGACGTTAATGTATGGAAGTGTATTAGTCATAACTGTGTGGCCTCCGTAGTATTATAGGTCAGGAAGAATAAAGATATCAGATTGGAGAAGAAAAAGAAAAAAAAAACTGTTCAAAAAGATTATATCCCACCCACCCCCAAAAGCAGAATCTCTTAAGTAAGGGACAAGTGAGAAAGAAGGTGGATAGGACAGCAAAAGCAGGAAACTGAGTGAGGCTAACTGCCACAGAGGAAGTTCAGATGAAAATGTTCAAATATCATTATGTCCTTCACATAAGGTAAACATGAGTATAAATAAGGCAAGACTAAGTCCTTTTGTTACAGCAATATATTTAGTAGTCACGTAAATGACCAGGAAAATCGCCTAGGGATATTTTCCCTGCAAGACTAGAAGCGTGTGAAAGGCTTAGAGGACAATAATTTAGAAAAGAGGCAACTATTCTATTTTAACTTTAATAAAATGTATGTACTCTTTATTCTTTGCCCAGATGGACAGTAGTGATCTGATGCTGTCAGTGCCTCATTTCTTTGGGTGGAGGTTGTTGATGCATTTAGGTCAGGGAATCTACTTTGTGGACTTTCCAGCAGCAAATTACATTAAGTACTTTTCTACAATGAATACTTAAAATCCTAGCAAATGCCTTCAACCTCTGTGCCCCCAACCCTCACACACGTATGTACATACATTAAACTTGTGGCCTGATTTATTGACCGAGACGGAACTTCTAACCAACCACAGTTGGTTTGGGGGCAGAATAGGAACATAGGAAACAACCAAATAATAGTGTTTTATTTTCTTCTTTTTAAAAAGTTAGTTTACTTTTAAAGTTGAGAGACAGTCTCCTGCAGTTTTTAAAAGACACACTCAGAATGCCCAGACTCTGGCTCCACCACTCACCGATTGTATCTGATTGTATCCGTACTTAACCTCCCAATGCCTGTTTCCTCACCCGTACAAGGAGATTGATAGTGTCTTCCTTGTAGAGTTAGGAGAATTAAATGAGATAATATATTTTTAAAAAGAATGGTACCCTGGCATGTAGTGAGCACTCAATCAATTTGTTTTACTTGTTTCATTCATTTATGTACTTACGGATCTATTCACTTACATTATTATTGCTTATTTACGAAAATACCTGTACATAGTTTTAGAAGTCAGCTAATATTAAAGTCCCGTGTCTTACCCTTTCCAAGTCTCCAGTTATACATTCTGATCATTGTTTCTTTTGTATTTGACCTTTTTCTTCCTCTGAAAACTTCTCTTTATAATCTCTTTAAGAGAGCCTGAAAGAGACAATCTCAGAAGGGATCACCTTCTCTTTATCCCTGGTGTTTGAAAACTTCACAATGATGAGCATTGGTGTGGGCATTTTTTCATTTACCGTGCTAGGTACCAGAGGGCCCTTTCTGTATGGAAATTCATGTCTGAAATTTCTGTATTCTTTTCTTGTATTATTTCTTTGACAATTTTCTCTTCTCTTTCTCTGTTTTCTTTTTCTGAAACCTCTTTTAGTCTGGTGACATCACCTGACAGATCCTAATCTAATTCCAATTTTTCTTATATACAAGCTACTTAATCTTTTTGTTGGTTTGTTTTTATGGCAGGTATCTTTATCTTCAGAGATGACTTTATCTTCTAACTTTTCTATTGAATGTTTTATATCTCAGTTATCCAAATTTTTTTAAATTCCAAGAACTCTTCTGTGTTCTGTGCTGTTTGGTGTTACAATATTCTGTTTTGTTTTATGGCTACTCCATTTCTCTTTTTACTATAAGGATATGAATTACAGTTTTGCTTTTAAATTGCCTTCTGCTCCGTGCATTGTGTTTTTTTTTTTTTCCAAAACGGCCTTGAACGTTTTTTATGTTTGATTTTCTATGCTTTTATTTTCATTTTGGAGGTTTTCCCCACATATCTGTGGTTGTTGCCTATCTCTATTTGAGAGCACTCCGAAGCTGTTTGTACAGGAGTGTTGCTTGTGTGTGTGTGTGTGTGTGTGTGTGTGAGAGAGAGAGAGAGAGAGAGAGAGAGAGAGAGAGAAAGAGATCTGGGCTTTTCCTGAGAGTAGCATCCAAATTTGAATATTTTATAAATCTTTTTCTTTGTTGTCATTGAGCTTCTCCCAAGAAGGAGAGGTGGGAGGCACGGCCATCTGTACAGAGGCATACATGCAGAAGAGTGTGGGAACTGGTGTTGGGAGAGTGTCCAGTGACGTATTGTACTTGCATATTGTTTTCTGATCCTCTGTTTCCAGCCCTACAGCTCTCTCTGCCAGCACAGGTCCTTGTGTTCCGAAGGCCTTCTCCTCTCTGAGCTCTGTCGCCCAAATTAGCTCACCTCCATCTGTATCCTTCACAGCACCCAGGCTGTGCCGCTGCTCCCTCGGTCGATTATCACCCCTCCGTCGCTTCAGGTTTATGAGAATTTGATGAATGCTCTTGAGTGTTTTGGTCTCCTCTCCTTTTCTCTTTCTTAGTTCTTGTATGTTTATACTTTTTTTTTTTAGAAAATCCATTGTGATTTTAATGTGGTTTTGGGAGGAACAGGTTGAGAGAAACTCATAAGGTCCATCTGCCATTTTTCAGAAATATTTTAAACCTGTGTTGCCCCTTCATTTATTAGGCTTATTTGATTTTCCTGAAGTGGTAGAAATGATTTCTTTTGATGTTTAAAACTATTACTAAGAACCCTTGATTTATTAAAGCCTCTTTTAAGTGAGCAGCATATCATATTGAACGTAGCCTAGCATATAAACTAGCCTGTGTGTGTGATGAGACTAAGTTAACCGATAGCAGCGTGCAGCACTGACCTACAGACACGCAGGTCTGTTACCATAGCCTGGAAGGTTTTCACTTCAGAGACATTGCCCGTCATCTTCCAGAGGCCTTCCTGGCTCTGTCGTATACTTCCAGATGAGAGCTTTGTGCAGCTATTTGGAAACTGTCTGTCTTCTCTGCTTGTCTCAGCCCTTTAGGGAGAGGTGTTGTGTTGGTTTTGACCACCTTTGCATCATCTGATCATTGCCTGGTCTGGGGCGTGGCCTTGATAAATACTGTCAAATTGATGAACTTATACTAAGTAGTTGTGTGGGACATGCACATTGAAAAGGCACAACAATATTCTGTGAAAATTAATGGTTTTAATATTTTGTTTAGCTAACGTAGTTATTTTCAGCATTAGAATTGGGAAAACTTCAGTTAAGGTCAAAATTCCAGGCTTTGGGAAGCCAAATCACATGACACTGTGTTTATTTTAATTGTGCAAGTTTGGCTTGCCAACTTTTTTTTTGTAAGCATGACCTTGAATGTTATTAATATTATAAGGAAATGTTGAAAAGATTCTGTTTAGAACTTTACAGTTTTAGTCTTCAAGTATTATTTTTATTTGTGGAAAAAATTTTTGTCCTGTAACTGCCTTTTTGTTTCAGGTCCAGAATTAATCTTCTAGACTGCTTAACACACTTTAATCCACTGTTTTACTTATTATATAGACCACATGATATTTTTTTAAGTATTTTCTTTTTCTTTTTTTAATATTTTATTTATTTTTTTTAGAGAGGGAAGGGAGGGAGATAGAGAAACATCAATGTGCGGTTGCTAGGGGCCGTGGCCTGCAACCCAGACATATACTCTGACTGGGAATCAAACCTGCGACACTTTGGTTTGCAGCCCGCGCTCAATCCACTGAGCTACGCCAGCCAGGGCTTCACATGATATATTTTATGATTCGTTTATCTGAAGAAGCTTTTAGCAACTTAATTTAGTTTTACTCTCAGGTGAAAAACAGAATAATATTTGTATTTCTTTTGCATATTTCTGTAATACCTGCCAATAATCATGCATTTTAAGCTTCTTTCACTTTATATCTTTTCCAGCTTCTTTTTTAAGGTAGCACATTTTGAGACATGAGGTTATACTTATTCTTTGCAGAATATTGAAGATATGCTAGATGTGTAAATATAGAAAAGTCCTAATTTTTATAGAGTGAGGAAAGTGACATAGATGTGAGACTGAAGATAGGCGAACTCTGTGTAGAATAACATTGTTGTACAAGAAGCTAAACTAGGTGATCCTCTTTGGCCTGACCAAGGTGTAGATTCACATACAACAATTTGAGTGTAGAGTTTTTTCCAAGTAAATCACAGAATAAAATTTGGATGAATTTGGAAATAATATTCCTTTTTTTGGTTATACAAAACCAGGAATTATAGAAATGCATGCATTTCTGGGTTGCAATGAAAGCTAGCTGCAGCATTTTATGGATATCTTTTTATTCAGATTCCACAGAAGGAATCTGGAAATGAAACTGTTATGACCTTGAACCTAAATTTTAAAAAATTCTCCTCTGTAATTCTCCTCTGAGACTTAGAAATGGTCAAATAATGCATAGCGATCAGTTTGAATGAAGGTATAAAACAGGTTTTCCCCCCTTGGTCTACGTAATTTCCACATTAAAAAAGTAAGTAAAAACACTGAATTGTATTTTGAATTGGAATTCAGGTAATAGTAGTTGGGTTTAA